AAAATATACCAATTTGCTAAATTTATTAACTGTTCACTCTATTGTTATGAAGTAAATGCCAGTGGGAAAAAATTGGGATTGCTTAAAATTTTATGAATTAGAAGCTTTGTCTTCTTTATCAGAGCAAGGACGGAAACAAATTACCCCTTAACCTGTCACGCTGTATCTATAATTACAATCAATGACAGTTTGAATGATAAGCAGTCTTACCCAAGTAGTGTTTATATCAGTTTGACTGAACAGCAATGGCTGGGACCTGCCCAGGGTGATAATGATGGAGACTGTGATTGTTACAGTAACTCAGATGCATGGCAGTCCACAGTGGTCATTGTTCTCTGTTAAGCTGACCATTGTGTGGCTGGGGCCTCAAGTAGATATTCATCTTTGTTAGTGTTCCGGTGCTACCACCAGGCCTGGGAGCTTGGATACCTTGGCAAGGCACTGCATGGCTTGATGGTGATTTCGGCAACAAATATGGCTCCATGGTTTAATTGCCATTAAGGTTGCTTCTTCTTTGGTGTGGATTGTCTCTGATTTGAAAAGATATATTTTTGCAAGAATCTGTATTTTTTGGAAGCATTCTTTGTTTATTTATGATGCTATTTATGTTTTTGATATGTTAAGATTTGGTTAATGTTTGATGTTTCTTGGCATTATCACTGACACTCTTTGCATATTCAATGCTGTTTTTCTCATCCAAGATGAATAAAGGTTAAAAGTAATTCCTGAAAAGAATAAAGGTTTATTTTGTCCATGATGTGTTATTGGATATTTTCTATTCTTTGTCTAGCCAGACTGAAAGAAGTGCAGCTTGTCATAGCTGTCAGTTACAATCATCCCTTAATTTACAAAGAGCTCCAAATTACAGGAGTTAATGATTTAAAAGGGTATCCATCGCCCCAGTGGATTTACGACTCTTTCACTGCCATCGATAGAGAATGCCAGGCTAGTTGTGACACCTCATCTCAGCATGTGATGTAGATGTGATCCTGTGTACAGATCCAGGGAGCCTCCCCCTTCCACCCTCCCCTCCTCGCCTCACCCTGGGATTAGGATCATGTCCTGTGAACATCTACAAGAGCTGCAGTGTCTACCGAGACCTGATCACTGCTAATCCTGTGTTGCTGTTTCGACATCAGACGGTGTGCATGGCATTACGCTTGTCAGTTGAAATGATATTAACAAAATTGCATCAGTGGCAATGATGTGCCTGTGATAAGATGCTTCCACAAGAATCTGGTATATTGGGTTGCTTTTGTGAAACATTTTCGGGCAAATTTGAAATGTTTAAATAATTGAAAGTTCCTGTCTTGTACATTCATGTTCATTATTACATGGTGGTGGCCAGACTAATGTCATCAGTTGTTTTATAGATTTTCGTAGGTGTTAGAACAAGGTGAGGAATCGATAAGATGGAAATTTTTTGGGGATGGTCAGTTGTTCAATGTCTGTGGATCAGATTGAGTGACCATTTGTTATTTTTCGTAATTTGAACTGTGTCTGTGTGTCTGTGTGTGCACTTCTACAAGTCCAGAGTAATACCGACACAGTAATCTGCCTCCGAGTCAACCAATCCTTGTTTTAGCCAAGTCCGAGGCAGGGGAACAAGTACCTTTTTCAAACATCTTTTGGTATGATTTGGCCAGTGATGAAACCCCTGACCTTCCACTCTCTGGACAGACATGCTGTCCACTGGAACACAAAGTCTTATATATAACTGAATGACAATGTGGTTGTTGATTTCTATGTAACATTTTCCATAAAGTGTGTCATGGTATCCCAGTTGCATGGGCCGATGCTCATGATGTCAATCACTGGACTGTCTGGTACAGAGTCAATTGTTTACAGACGCTATCATATAGCTGGAATGTTGCTAAGTGCAGCATTAAACAACAGCAAAAGTATGTTGTCTGCCAGTGGCAAGGTGACACTAGTGACACAGCTCAGAAACAGTACACAAGGCTGGCCTGGATATTGTTATGTTACATTAGAAATGACATTTGTTTTTTTGTCAGTCACAACAACACATGTTTGCAGTATAATGTCACATGGTGTGGCTTTCAGTGTAAATACCACATCATGGAGGAAGACATCACAAGCCAATGTATTCAGAAGTCTTCACTTGACAAGATATTGGATTTCAAAATTATGAGAAGTTTTTTATCTGGTGAATGTGTTTACATCTGCAAGTTATTGAATTACCTCTCGTAAATGTTTTACCTGGAATTATTTCCCTTGAAACTAACATGATTGATAAGCTTTTCAGATTTTCTTTTGCAAGTTGTAAGGATGTAGAATTGATGACTTCATTTCGCAACCTAAGTTCACATATTACGGTAGCTGCTAGAGACCATTCTGCATTTGTTACGAGAGGCGCTGGGTTTATTTCCCAGCAGTATTCTCATATGAATTAATTCTCTTGGTTGAAGAGTGTGATGGATGGCATTACAAGTAAGTGTTTTATACAAACTACATTGTCATACAGAGAGTTGCTCACCCAGCTTGTATAAATGAATGTTTACTGTCACAGGAGAAAATGAAGACGCAGATCATGAGATTTAATCGTAGTTTTAAAGAATTACTTGTGTCAGACGACTTGATGGTTTTCCAGGAAGATGGAGGTATATATAGAGAATTTCACCCAAGTGTCTTTTGGTATCACATATATCAACATGAGTTGAGTAAAGTTTCAAACTCCAAGGCTTCCCGAGTAGAAACTTTTATTGCTGAGTGTTGATATGTTTGACATTAAAAGACACAAAGGTGAGGATTTTATCTTTCATCCAAAGTCATTCTTGCTACTTTTTCAGTTTGTAAACAGTAATAACCAGTGTCTTTAGTGTAAAAAGTACTGCTAAGCCACCTCTGAGGCAGAGAGATAAGTAATGTTATTGGAGCGCCATATCTCTTGTGGAAGCCAGTTTTGAATTATTAATACATTTGCCATCTAAAAACTTTGAGAGATTAAGTTTTGAAGTTTTTCTTTGAAATTCTTGAGGGTTGATCCGTCATTTTTCAAAGCATGCTTGTGTTTGATTCCTCTCTTAAAATGTTCATTGGTTATCTGTTTCTCCAACACAAGTTACACAGATCGACAGGAGTTGTGTAGGATTGAAATTTGTGTGTAGGACATTCACAGTATGGGCTTCGGGAGAAATGGTTAAGGCTACCCTAGGAAAAATGTGTTGGTCATTGTAATTGAATAAACATGTTCATGTTGCTGATGTTCATGGTGGACTGATGTTCAAGTTCAACATGAAAGCTAGAGCCAACAGAGGCGTATTGCATATTGCAGATTCTCAACTGCTTGCAATGAGCAAGTCACACGGCATGGGGTTGGTTATTTTGTATACCTGTTCAACACGATTCTCACTGTGGGGAGAATCATGAAGATCTGGGTTAGAATAGGTCTTCAGCAACCCATGCTTGCCGTAAGAGGCGACTAACGGGATCAGTTGGTCAAGCCTCCTGACTTGGTTGATGCATGTCATTGTATTCCAATTGCGTGGATCAATGCTCATGATATCAATCACTGGATTGTCTGGTCAAGACTCGATTATTTACAGACTGTCGTCATGTAGCTGGAATATTGCTGAGTGTGGCGTTTAACAACAAACACTGTGGGGAGGTCAGGGTTCCTTGTGCCCTTGTGTTTGCAGTCACTTCCTTGAGGAATAGTTGATGCTAATGTCGGCTGTAAGGAAGAATGACTAACTCTCCTGACCATCACCCTTGGTTTGATAGAATACTTGTGCTTGTTGGTTTCATGGAATAGTCAGTGTGGTGGGATGGCTGAGTGGTTCATGAATTTACTTGTCACGCCAAAGGCCTGGGTTAATGCCCATTTCTGGTGTCCCCTGCTGTGAAATTTCTGTAATAATGCTTGAAGTGGCATAAAACCAGATTCATGTGAGTTAGGCTTTCCTTCCATATTAAACTGACATGCTCTCATATTACTGAAATACTGTTATTATTCATCTATGATCACATTGAATGTAAATGTACACCAATATTATAGATATGTAGCTTTCATCTTTGACTACAATTTTTCCCATACCAGGCATAATAACACTAGCGTTGTCATGTACAGGCCCAGACATGTTGCCTCGATCACTCACCATCCTCGTTATATAATGCCAATGTGATATTAAATTTTAACTCACTCACTCACTCAGCACTGCGCTGTTGTAAACACAAACATTGTTGGCTGTGGGCAGCATGCTGTTGAGTGCTAGCAGATTATTTGTTGATTACGCAGCCCGTATTTGGAGCTGTAGACAGGCATATTGATCCGAGTTTTATATTGTCAGATCTATCATGGTGATTCATGGGTAATTCATGAGTCGATGCCAGCATTTGATTATGTAATAGCTGGCCAAAGAGGTGGGTTGGCACATCGTCACACGTGAATGTTTTTCAACTACAAAAGCAGCTATTGTTTGGTGTGGTTTTTTTTAACAAGTAACCTGTCAACACCCCTTGCCTGTCATTGTTACTGGATACTGACACAAGTCACTTAATAACTTGTATAGTGATAAAATTAAGTGTGCATCGACAGTTCACGGCTTGTCATCCTTTAAGATGATGCTGTACGCCAGGAACTTTGTATTGATACAACATTGATTGATATTAACCTTACACACAGAAACAGAAAAAAATTGTTGCATTTCAATGTAGCCATGCTTCAGTTATTGCAACGGGTAATCAAAAAGTTGAAATCATCAACGAAATGGGATTTTTGAAGGCAACATAATCCACATGATGCCATGCGTGTCTTGGTCCCGTCACTTTATTTTGCCAATAACCAGGAAAATGCTCTGACAAGTGTTTCTAATGAGTCTGTAGATGAAACATGGAATCGCTGCAGCCAAAACCTCACTGGTCAAAGAGCAAAGAAGAGTGACTTTTGAAGTCTGATTGTGATATTGACTCTCATAATTTGAGTGAATCATAGTTCATTTCATTTTTTTAACTCCAACTTTTTAATGTTTTGATTCCAGTGAGATGAAGTGACCACTGCACATGCGGGATGGACCGTATCAAGCAACAACCGCGGATACAGCGGCGCACACGCATGAAAAATCGTGGAAGCCAAACATGCAGTTCCTCCGACGAAGACTTCCACTCAGATGATAATCTGCGTCCTTACGAAGAAGTCAAGATTGCCCATCACGATAAAAAATTAGCGGGACTAGGTGAGTTAAAAATCTTAGAACTTGGCATGTGATCCTCTTCATTCACTGACACTCTTAACTTTGTCACCTAACAGCACTGAGGCAGTAGTCTGGGAATATCCGGAACTCACGTCACACTCTTGTAACACTGTGCAGAAAGTATGGAGTTGAGTTAGGGGGGTGCTGTGTTTTATAGCCGGTTTGGTGATGTTATATAGCCAGTTTGGTGATGTTTTAGAGCCAGTTTGGTGATGTTATATAGCCAGTTTGGTGTTATATTGCCAGTTGGGTGATGTTTTATAGCCAGTTTGGTGATGTTATATAGCCAGTTTGGTGATGTTATATAGCCAGTTGGGTGATGTTATATAGCCAGTTTGGTGATGTTATATAGCCAGTTTGGTGATGTTATATAGCCAGTTTGGTGTTATATTGCCAGTTTGGTGGTGTTATATTGCCAGTTTGGTGATGTTATATAGCCAGTTTGGTGTTATATAGCCAGTTTGGTGATGTTATATAGCCAGTTTGGTGATGTTATATAGCCAGTTTGGTGATGTTATATAGCCAGTTTGGTGATGTTATATAGCCAGTTTGGTGATGTTACATAGCCAGTTTGGTGATGTTACATAGAAAGTTGGGTGATGTTATATAGCTAGTTGGGTGATGTTATATTGCTATTTGGGTGATGTTATATAGCTAGTTGGGTGATGTCATATTGCTAGTTGGGTGATGTTATATAGCTAGTTGGGTGTTATATAGTCAGTTGGGTGATGTCATATAGCTAGTTGGGTGTTATAAAGCCAGTTGGGTGATGTCATATAGCTAGTTGGGTGATGTTATATAGCTAGTTGGGTGTTATATAGTCAGTTGGGTGATGTTATATAGCCAATTGGGTGATGTTATACATCTTGTTTGGTGTTATATAGCCAGTTTGGTGATGTTATAAAGCTAGTTTGGTGTTATATAGGCAGATGTGTGATGTTATATAGCTGGTTTGGTGTATATATATCCTGTTTGGTGTTATATAGCTGGTTTGGTGTTATACAGCCAGTTGAATGATGTTCTATGGCCAGTTGGGCAATGTTATATATCCAGTTTGGGGTGTTATAGATGCAGTTGGAGGATGTTATATAGTCAGTTTGATATTATAAAGTCAGTTGGCTGATGTTATATTAATGAAAGGTGATGTTATTTAGTCAGTTGGCTGATGTTATATAAATGAAAGGTGATGTTATTTAGTCAGTTGGCTGATGTTATATAAATGAAAGGTGATGTTATTTAGTCAGTTGGCTGATGTTATATAAATGAAAAGTGATATTATATAGTCATTTGGCTGATGTTATATAAATGAAAGGTGACGTTATATAGTCAGTTGGCTGATGTTATATAAATGAAAGGTGATGTTATATAGTCAGTTGGCTGATGTTATATAAATGAAAGGTGATGTTAAACAGTCAGTTGCATATTAAATACATCTCTTGTCATCATTCCTCATCTTTATTGTCTTTTGGAATGTGTTCTTCTAAGAGGATTATGTTGTCCCGTTTTTTTTGGTCAATATTGAGCGCCAAGGCAAACCGTTAATAAAGATGGCACAGCCTTGCTGTCTTCTGTGTGGACATGGTGGTAACTGGTTGGTTACAGCTCTGGCTAGATTACTACGGATGGTGAATGTTACCCAGTACAATGTAATAAAGCGTTGTTGATATTCCCACTAAAACACACATGCAGTCCACGGCCAGGGGATGCTACTCTCATTAAAGGGGCAAATTGCTCTCTCTGTCCAGGACTTATGGGAAAGGCCGCCAGTGCAGTGTAATTTCTTGGGACCACCTGTTTGTCAAACTCAGTTTCACTGGATTAATGCAATTGAATTCTGCGATTGTGATGCCTTAGCTGTCTCTGAATTGTCCCATATTTTGGCTATTTTGACTCATTTTGGATATTTCATGTACAACTTTGATCAATGTGTGGGAATGTGGAATCGGTACAGGGAGTATGATCGATGTGTAAACTGATAGCCTTGTTCATGATGGTTTCACAGCTGATCAAGACTTGGTGTTTCAAAGGAACAAATCGCTAACGTATTTGCTAAAAAGAGAAAACGTCATCCCTTGAAATGTGTATCAAGTTCCTGTATCCTGTTTTTGAGTAAGATTCGACAAGTGTTTGTGAAAATTGATTCATCACCACAATATATAGCCCAAGTAGGCATCATTAGGTTGGTTTGTCAAAAACAGGACTCAATTCCTATGATGATTCTATATCTTTGAGAATGCCGTATTAGCCAAAGACAAATAAGAGAAAAAGCCTGTGAACATACCTTGACATAAAAATCAATGTAACTGTATTGTGTTTGGGTAAGCTGGTTGTATATACAGTCGCGAGCTGTGGAACGGCTGGACACCTCTCTTGTTAATTCGTTCCGAAGCCTCCATTCTGCAACAGCCTAACTGTACTAACCAGATTGTTTGGGAACAGTTGCCAGGGATTGTTTGTTTTGAGTGGTACAAGAAAAGTAGTATCTCCATCGTTCTGTCGTCCTATGAGGAATGGATGCGAACCACGGCAATGACTGTCCCTGTTGATTCATTACTATTTCAAAGAAAGTAAACAGGTTTTTTCTCCCACAGGATTTGGGAAATATATTCACCCGTTATTGTACAATTTCACATTACGCGAGGGCATTTAGGTCTTGAATATATTAATCACTGATGGTAGTTTTTTTGTGTGTCTGAAAAACTGGCAAGCGGACTCCGTCTCTTCACTGTTACATTGTCATGTACAGACCTGCGGCTGATTGTTCTTGTGTAAACACATACTGGTTTATGTTTCATCCTATCGGTTATATCCTGTGGCTGGCTCTCTGTGGGAATACACTGTGTGAGTGTGTATGTGGAAGTCACAGCAGAGATTTTATTGATGAATCAGAAAGTGGGATGATAAGGTGAATAGTTGTAAGCTTATCTTTCAAGAATCGTCTAATTGAATGGCTATTAGAATGTAACAGCATACACAGATAGAATATAATAGTATCCCCAAATACTATCTGGCAGTTATATGCTTTTTAAAAGTTCTTGTCAGAATTTTAAAATAGCCTGATATTTTGTCGAACTGAATATATAATTATACATTATAAAATTTCTATTAATGATTATGGAATAGAATGATCCTCTGTCTAAATGAATATACCAGTATACACAATTAGAATATAACTTTTTCCATTTTTGAAATTCTTATAATAATTTTGAAATAGTCTGATCCTTTGTCTAACCCAATATATAATTATTATACATCATAAAACTTCTGTTAACAATTATTTAAAAAGTCTGATTCTGTCTAATTCAGTATGACTGAATATAAATAAAAGAAATTGTTCTTTGTATGACTTGACGTGCAAGCATTATAGTCATCCACTTTGGCGTTATTTGCCAACTGAGAGAACATGATTACAGAAATAGTTTTAAAAAGTCCAGTTGTATTTTAAGGAACACATGATATTTGCCTATGATTCTTTGCTTTAATGATTAAAATTCACACTTTAGGCATGACGGGACATGTTAGGATGAACGCCAGCAGAGTGTCGGCTTACTTATCGAGCATTTCTATTGGTCGACAAAGGCTCCTGTGATTTAAGCTTGGGTGTGATTGGTCGGTAATGGGACACTTTTGGGTGAAGTTAAGCTAGTTAAGCGAGATTGGTATTTCTAGGCATGTCTTGAATTAGTGCACTTGAAATCTTTATCTTTTTGTTCCGTCAGTAAAAAACATGAAGTAGTTTTTAGCTGTAAAAATAAATGGAAAAGTTCAATCCTGTGGGAAATTTAAATGCTTGTTATCACTCAGGTTGAAATTTCAATTTAAATTTGGAAAACAAGATCCAAAAACCCAAAGGTTTACTGACTTTTGGAGTGCATGATTAGACTGAATAATTTTCTGCGGGAGGTTATCTTGGCAATTAAAAAGCCCAGCGTCGCAGGTATTGTTTGAACTATTGTTAGTGAGTATGGTTTAACACATCTTTTATCACCACGGGGGACACTAGAAATTGGATTTACACCCTGTACCCAGTGCCGTCAGGTAGCCTAGTGGTTAAGACGTTTGCTAGTCATACCGAGGACCTGGGTTTGATTCCCGACATGGGAATCATGTGTGAAGCTCATTTCTGGTGTCCCCTGCCGTTATATTGCTGGAATATTGCTGAAAGTGTCGTAAAAACAAAAAATCACTCACACACTGTACCCATGTCAGGAATCGAACCCAGGCCTTTGGCATGGTGAACGAGTGCTTGAACCACTAGGCTAGCCCACCACTCCATTTGATCAAGAAGGCAGACTATTGATATTACTGTATATTCTGATTAGATATGAAATTGGCCAAACTTTTCATTCATGTTCTTAGTTCAGTGTCATTTGTGGTGGAATATTACTTTGAATTGGTTGGGAGGGTAGGTATTTTGAATTTTGTCAAATGTCCAGACACAAATCCAGGCCGAAATTATTTCCATTTTGATCCATATATCCTTGTTTGAAATTGTTCAGGTTTAACATTTTTAGAAGCATGCTTGAATTATCTTTTTATAACTGCTGTAGTAAAGGTGGTTGTTATGAGTAAGCAGTATCAACATGGATTGAGAATTCTTGAGATAAAAATATAATATGTACATATTTGATCAGTTTGTGTCCCCAATATTGACATAAACTACATTTAATGTCACAACTGTGATCTAGTGCATTGATTTCTTCGTTCCTTGAACTCTGATAATTGAATGACAATTGAAAAATGTCATAGGAGACAGCATTAGAAATTGAAATATGTGAAGTCTTTCATTTGTAATGATCTAATGACTAAGGTTTAAATGACCGTATCTGTACTGGCCGTTCAAACTCATCAATTTATGGAATCTGTTTTTCTTGTCCAAATGATGAAGAAACACTGACACAGTGATGAATACCTCGGCCCTATGCTGGTAAGATGCTTTCCAACAAACGTGACCCTTCAACCAACTGACGATTTGTTATGGA